CCTGGGGCTCGGTCCTTGTCTGGGCTATCCAACTGCACACTCCTCATGAGTCAGACATTAGCTTCCACCCCACTCCCGCCTCCGCTTTCCCAATGGACAAACCCCTCTGGCAGAGTGGCAGCTGCTGGCCCTAAATCCAGGTCACTTTGCTGGTTTAGATGCAGTAGCAGCAGGAGAGGCTCATTCATTTCTTCCAGCAGATGCCCATGGATGTCAATCAATGGCAGGCATCGTGCTGAGGATGGAATGGTGAGTTCAAGCCCATCCCTGCTTGTAGTAGGGTTCATAGGGAGGCCCACAGTGTGTAAAAATGCGGAAGTGGTAGGGCGTCCACCAAAGGCTCAGACCACTCGAGGGGGACAAGCAAGGCTTCCTGAAGGAAGGACATTCACACTGAGATGGGAGAGAGAAACAGAAGACGACCTACAGCGAGGAAGAGAGGTGTACACCAGGCAGAAGGCAAGCTGTGCAAAGGACAGAGGCATGAAGAAGCCCTGTGAGTGTGGAGCATCTTATGGGCCAGCAGTGTCCAGAGGTGATATCAGGATGCCCGGGACAGGATCCTAAAGACCTTAGAAGTGAGCAAGCATAGGTACTTGGGATTTGGTTCTCAGAGTAGTGAGGCACCATAGAAGAATCTAGATTAGTAAAGAAAGTGCTGGAAGGCCCCAAGGTAGCACTGGCTTAGGGTTTGGAGGCATAGGGAGAAATGCAGGATTGTCCCCTAGCTTCCAAGACGCTCATTGGTGACATACTGCATGGACACACCTGAGAGGTGTGTGATATGGGCCATGGCCCACAGTGCCCACAGTTACCAGATGCCCACTCAATACACCTGGCGGCCTATAGGGCATTGTCACCACCACAATTTCACAGACAGAAAGACAGTACCCACGGAGCTTAACATCAATGTCCTGTAAGCAGGGAAGGACAGTATCAGGGACAGTGGCCTTTGTTTTTCTCCATGCTTCTTTGCCTGAGTGTTATCCAGAGGTCGTAGGAAAGGTTGTATAGAAGAGGAAGGTCTGTGGAGTCAGAATGATGTTCTGTGTGTCCAGTGTCACTTCTGGGACTGCACAGTATGAGCACTGGGAAGGCGTATGGACTGACCAAGGGCAGAGTAGGCAATATCTCTGAAAGTCTGAGTTTGAACTGGAGTTGAGTCTTGGGTATACTGTGAAGCAAGCAGAAGTATTGGAAAGAATAGAATTAGTGAGTGAAGGAGACAGTGTCAGCCCTTTCTGATTTGGGGGATGCTATGCTGCCTGTATACCAATGATAGATAGTAAGAGAGGGTGCTTTGAAAAACATCCCAAGCCTCCCATCTCCAACAGTCAGGAATGGCATCCCATTGGGGCTATTTAAATTGGAAATGGGTAACTAATGTGCACCTGAAATGTCTCCAAGGGAAATAGGGCCAGGAGCCAAGTTGTTCAAGGAGCTGTGACCAGTCTGTAGAGGTCAGCAAGAACAGCATCCTCTGGCACGGAGATGTGACTCGATAGCAGAATGCCTGCCTGTCCTGTGCAAGACATGGGTTACCCAGCAGTATTCCTAGATGACTTGTAGGAGGGGGAAATGGCGTGCTCTCTGGAATGCACTCGTGTGATTCTGGAATTCCCCTGAGAAACCCAGAACTGAGCTAAATTACTCTCCAAGCCAGCTCGTGATTCAGTCATCTCTAGATATAGCCCCAGAGCCCCGTTCTCCAAGCACAGAACCCATGAGCTGTGAAGCTTGGACACATCGTAGGCTGTAGCTCCATTGCTGTGCCCAGCTGACCTCAAGAAAGCAAACCAGTTTCCATGACTAAGGAGCGCTAATCTGTCACTAATGACTGGCTGACAAAATATGAGCAATTAAGTCAACAAGAACAACCAATGCCGAAGAGTGTAGGGATTTCTGAGGTTCTTTATGTGCACCCTGCACTCCTTGGTGGCTAGTTGAAAGGGTGGACCAGGAAGGAGGTGTCCCTGACCTGAATCCTAGCTTATCCTTAACTGTGTTCCAAATGGATCTTTCCTCCTGTTCTATTCTATGGATCCTTCACCCTCCCTGGAACCTTTCACTCCAGCCCCGGAGTATGTGCCGCTTGTTTTCCCTTTGGACAGTGCCTGGTGCTTTACAAGTTGTTCCTACTCTCTTCTCTCCACCTCTAACTCCCTCTGGCCAGCCTTCACCCAGCACAGCCCCCGCCATCCTTTAGCTCTACAACCCCTCCCTCCTTCCACAGAGAGTCCCCAAAAGAGCTGCTGCCACACTCTTTCCGCAGCCGCAGCCGCCGCCCCACGGCCGGTTTACATCACCCTCGGGAGCACCCTTGTCCCTCTCTGAAGCAGTTCTTTGCTCAGGACTTCCCTTTCCTCTGGCTCTGCTACCCCGGAAGGAGAACAGCCAGTCCTGCCCCGGGCCAGCCTTCCTGTTGGAGAAGACCACACCGTGTCTGAGTTCCCCTGCTGAAGGGACCAGAGACATCCCCAGTGACAGATCCTGTTTCTGGACATTTCTTGCATTCTCTTTGTCTTCTCTTTCCTCCTTCACAGTCTCTGAGACCCGAACTCTGCAGCTCAAGGCCAAAGAGACAGCATCAGTCAGGACTCCTTGTACTAAGGACAGAGAAGTGTAGCTCATTCCTGCTCCTTCCTGCCCATCATTCTGTTTAATCTTAGTCATTGGGATGGCTCCTCTGCCAGCCTCCCCATGCTCTATACCCTCTCACTGTGATTCCCAATCTCCTTATTTGCCTGTGCCAGGCCCTTTCCACTTTTTTTTTTTCAAAAGCCTATTGAATTCTTCTAAAAACTGTCTCCTGGTTGGACTTGACCCTTGTCATGTACGCCATCCCATTTCTACAGGGTTCACATCTCCATAAGTTCTACTTGGGGAGGAGGCATCATGCTGAGACCTGGATATGGGTCTGGCTCTCTCCCAGTTGGGGAACCCCAGCCAAGCCACCAAACCTCTCTGAGTCACAGTTTCCTCTGCTGTAAAACTGGAATCAAAATACTCGCCTAGTCCAAGGATCAAATGAGTGAATGAATGTGAAGATGTTGTTGAGAAGCTCTGGAATAGTTTCTCCCAATTTCCCTGTAGAATTTTCCTCTAGGGAAAGGTTTGAATACGTTATTCAGGAGCTCGGGACGGAAAGTTTCATGTCAAGTTTGAGGAAGTCAAGCCTAAGCAAAATGGACCAGGTTTCTTTCTTCTAGAATTTCCCAGAGATTTGAATTTGTTCACATGCATGGCAACTGTCCAAAAACAAACACAACATATAGCCTTGCCTCAAAGGTACTTCTTTTCACAGACTACTTATTATTACCTTTCAGGTTACAAGTTTCCATTGAGAATAGCATATTTCATTATTAGTCTTCCTTTAAATAATGACTCTGACCTTTCTGTAAAGTGTATCTCATCATCTAGGTCACTAACCAGTTGACCAGTGTACCAACTGACCAGTGTACCAGTTAACCAGTGTCCAAAAAGGCACTGTTAGTGGGCCTCCAACCTCCCCTGTATCCCATACTCTGCTCAGTACTGTGGGATTGGCATTGAAGGCCTCTGTGGTCAGACTCCAGCCTTACCTCCGGACCATCCCTCACCGGGCTCTGGCCCAGGCAGCTTGGCAGACCCACTGTCCTATGCATACATGTTGTATGTTCTTGATTCCTGCTTTATCCCACCTTCTCCTCACATCTATACCACCACATTCTAAACCATTCTTCAGGTCTTAGCCAAACCCTGACTTCTCTGTGGAAGTTCTTTCCAGCTAAAACAGCACATCCCAGGCAGGCACATTGGCCCTCTTACTCATCTGTAAGCCCTTTAACGTAGGGTATAGTTGACACTTCCTGATCCTCTCCCCCAACCAGAATATGTGGCTTCATTGATTGCTGCCCTCTACCCAAGCCCTAGAAGCCAGGAACACACAGGTTTCCTCTGGGAACTTGAACGACTAGCTGGCCTGTCCTTGTGAGCTGGGGAATCAGTCATCGTAGGTTTTCTGACTTAATTCTGTAGATGCTTATTTACTGTGGCAGAACTGCCATCAACCTAAAGTTGACCAAAAGAAGGTCCTTATGGTCTAGAGCAGTGGTTCTCAACCTTTCTGCGCTGCGACCCTTTAATACAGTTCCTCATGTGGTGGTGACCCCTCCAACCATAACATTATTTTTGTTGCTACTTCATCACAGTAAATTTTGTTGCTACTGTTATGAATCCTCATGTAAATATCTGTGTTTCCCGATGGTCTTAGGTGACCCCTATGAATGGGTTGTGCCACCTCCCTCTAGATGTCGTGACCCACAGGTTAAGGACCACTGGCTTAGACAAAAGTATAAAAACACAGCAAGCCTGTGTGTTGAGTCAACATTGTAATAACGGCCAAGCCAGGGGATCATAAAGTCAGGCAATAATGAGAGCGTCCCTGTGTCCTGCTGGTGGCCCATCCTTCTACTCAGAGAGGTCATCTGACGCAGAGATGACAGGACTGTCTGGTCCATCTCTGAGGGAAGAAAAAGTACTGGAGTCTTTGGGCACATGGATTTAAGTTTGTCCTCTGGGTACAACAAGGACTGTCTTCATGGAGATTGACAGTTACGGCAGATGCCTCTAGGGGATATGAGAAGGAAGCTGTGCACCCCACTCCACACACACACACACACACACACACGCACACGCACACACACACGCACACGCACACACACATGCACACTCAGCCTGTGGGAATCCCACTTCCCTGCTTTTCCATCATACTCACGCACCCTCTTCCTTCTCACCTGAACTCATTCTTGCTCTCCTCCTCCTCTTCACCTCCGGGTCCTGGGGCCATCCATTGGTACCTCATTAGAACCGCCCTGTATCTGCTCCCAGTAGTTAGAGGCTCGCTTTGGCGAGAGGCTGGTCACCTCAATGCCCAGTCTCCAGGTGGGAGGGTCTGGAGAGGGGGCCCCTCAAAAGGGAAGTCAAGCCTCAACTCAGCACCTTCTCTTTTCTCTCCACAGAAAACCAAAAGAGACGTCAATAATTTCGACCAAGACTTTACCCGGGAAGAGCCGGTACTTACACTTGTGGATGACGCAATAGTGAAGCAGATTAACCAAGAGGAATTCAAAGGCTTCTCCTACTTTGGTGAAGACCTCATGATGCCCTGAGAAGCTGCCTCCGGTGGAGTTAGCTGACGCTGCAGGAGGGTGCTGAGAAAATCCCGTGTTGCAGAGGCTCAGAAGGTCTCGAACTCTTCCTCCTTCCCAGAGCCCCAGTCCCATGTCCACTCTATTTATTGCAATCCCTCCTCCCAGGCCATGTCCTTCCCCACCCTCCCAGTGACCAGAAGGCACTCTTGGGTCTAGACTCAACCAGGAACACAGATGATTTGAGTTGTGTCTGCTCTGTGGGTAGCTGTGCGCAGTGCTGGATTTGGATTTGTCCGTCCATCGGTAATGCTGAAGCAACTTCAGTTCTTTTATCACAAAGGAATCAAACAAACCCAACACGAAGACTCCGGCTCTGCCACTGGCTATGGAACCCTGACTCCGCTCTTTTCTCATTCCTCCTGCTCCCCAGCCTGCCATCCCTGCCCTTCTACCTAGGACAAGAGACTGGTGCTTCTTCCTGTGAGGGCAGGTGCCCCGAGGCACGCCCTTGATGAGAGGAGCCTGGGGATGCTCAGACTGGCCGAGTGTGTGTCAGTTTGCTCTGGAATTGCACATTCCTGCTTGCTTTGGTTTTAGCTTTTTTTGAGCATGCCAAAGTTGTGTACGTTTGTATCTCATGGAAGAAATCATTTTGATTTTGAAGGCTTAACATTTAAAAAACAAAGAAACTGTTACCAGGTTCACTTTCTAATTGGCCAAAAGATAGACATCCCATTGTGAATGCAGGTAGATATTAAAGGGCTAATACACAGTGAGAATCCAGGCGTCCAAAGTTTGTTATTGATGCTTTAGTGACACATGAGGGCTACTGCAAAGAGAGCAAAGGAAACCCTGGCTTCTCATCACAACCATTCTCCCTGAGCACAAAGGCCACCAGAGCAACAGCCAAGACCCTGGGGTTCCAGAAAAACTCAACTCCCAAGTTTCTCTCCAAGTTTTTTTTCCCCCCAAGTTCCCAGCATAAACTCTATTTTCTGTGCATGTCTACAAAATGGTAGTGCCACTGTGTTGTGGTTTGAGACATTCAGTATCTGCTCGGGAATGCAAGAAAGGAAACTCAGCCTGGGTCAGGAAGAAGGTGTCAGGAGACTGATGAGCAGATGATTTGAAGACTGACAAGGTAGTGGGATGTGGCCAGAGTTTTGGTGACATGCGATGGCAACTCACGTGGACTCTATTTAACGGACTGATGTTACCTCCTGTAGATACGCTGACAGTGTTAGTCTTTGACTCCCAAGGGTTCTCTGTGACTTTGTGTATATGTTCCCTGAAGGTCATTTGATTACCTATTTTATTGAACTGATTTAGCAGGGAATGGAATCCATTCTAGCTGTTGCACGTGGATTTCCCAGCTGCCCCTAATTATATATACTTGTGAGTGGCTCAGTGGCACCAACGAAGCTTTTGGCCTTTTGTACATTTGAAGTTTGTTTGGTTTTTTTTTTTGTTTTGTTTTTTTGTTTTTTTTTTCTTTTTTTTTGTATATAGTGTTTGCTGCAAGGCCTGTGGAATTAATTCATTGAATATAGAGGTATCAACTGCTGCATGTTCAGGCATATTATAAAACTTTAGTCGATGAAAGAATAACTATAATAATGTCCAGGTGCAATCCTCTTATCAGCTATTGGTTCAAGTTACTGAGAGAGAGGTATGTTTCTTTCTAGGGAGGGCTGGGGTCCTTTATATTGTTTATTTCCTTTGGGGTTGAAGATGTAACCATATGATGAGCTATATGAAATTCACAGCAGGTTCTCCTGTGCTCCTTCACGTCCTGATAGAGATGGCCGATGGAGAGGAATGTTCTCCATAGTGGTTGCCAAGCTTGGACAGTGACTATTTTGAGCCCATACTAAGTGTGTCCCTATTTGCATCTGGCTGGTCACAGCCTTTGTTACTGATGATGACCTTCAGTTCTCTTTTGCTTTTTTTTTTTTTTTAAATGAAAAACTCAGGTGTAACTGTGATCTGTTCTTATGATGATTGCAAATATTAAATACTATGCTGTATCAATCTGTATGTTTGGCATACCAGGGAAGTGATGAAGAACATTAGGTTAATTTAATTTATCTTCAGTGACTTGACATGCTGGGGGAAGACTATCTTTTGGAGTGGCTAACAAGCACAGAAACATCTTCATGGTGGTATCATCTCATTGCTTAGAAAAACATGATAATACGCCCATCATACTCAGATATAATCAATCTCTCTCTCTCTCTCTCTCTCTCTCTCTCTCTCTCTCTCTCTCTCTCTCTCTCTCTCTCTCTCCTCAGCTTCCTTTACTGTTGTGAATGTTGGACAGCCAGTATCAAGTGGCTGTTTTCCAGGGCTTGGTGGTATTCACGTGACAGCGGGGGCTAGGCCCTTCTTCCCGGCCAACTGGCACTGTGGCTGGGAAATCAAACCATACACTCCACCAGCAAGCAGTAGGCAGTCAGCCCCCTGGCTCCCTTTTGGTGCCCATAGCCGGCTGCCTAGGATGCCTCTGGCCAATGCTGTTCTCACACTGGCAGATTTGAATGCAATGGAGACCTTACACTTGTGTGTGTTGCTTGGGTGTATACTGAGTCCTTTCAGCAAGGACTTAGCGGAGGGAATGTGGCTCGGTGGTAGAACTCTTGCCTGGTTGGTGTAGAGCCCTGTGCTCAGGCTCCAGTATCACACACAGAGCAAGGTTGAGGATGGCCACACTGATACATTTCTGCCAGTTCCTTATCTTTTCAACTCTCACTCTCTTTCTTTTAGAGAAAAAAAAAGAGTGCAAAAAAATGCCAAAAGCCTACATGAAGGATAGTATTTCCTCCGTTCCTCTCCTTTATGGACTTTGTGAAGTAGAAACATATTTTTTTTCCTCCAAAGGTGAAAACACAATTCATTCTTGCTTTAAAAAATAAAAGAAGGCTAAAAAAAATTACCTCTTTTTAAATTATGTGCAAAATAATTCTGGCTAAATAGAAAACGTATTCAATTTTAGGGGTTTTATTTTGTATTGTGAGGCTTTCTTTGTACACTTTTTTTTTTCCTTTCTGGATGTGATTTTAATCTCTTGCCATCCATTAGTGTAATTTCATTGTAAACATTATTGTGCCAAATGTACTGTATTCAAAAGGATGTGAATGTGTGTTGTTCCAGAACGTAATAAATATGATGACGTTAAATCTTACTTCTCCATCCCAACAAGATGTCTCTCTCCTTGTACATTAGAGACCAAGGCTTCTGGGATTAGCTGTTCCTCAGCTGTTAGAGAGCATGCCTGTCATGAACAATGGCCTACATTCAATCCCAGCACCCACAAAACTCAGTGCAGAGACACACACCTGTAACCTCAGCACTTGTGTGGCAGAGGCAGTGTGACCAGAAGTCCAAGGTCATCCTCGGCTACATAATGGAATCAGGGCCAGGCTAGATAGGCTACAAGAGACCTTGGCTCAAAACAAACTAAAATTCTCGAATCTAACCAACCCCAGTATTGTGGGGCACAGCTATAATCCAGCACTAAGAAGGCAGAAGCAGGGGGATAATGAGTTCAAGGTCAGCCTGGACTACATAGGGAAACTTTCAAAACTAGAACAATCGCACAGGTAAGCGCAGTGGCTCAGTGCGTAAAGACACTCGCCACAGAAGCCTGATGGCCTGAATTCCGTCTCTGGAACCCATGTGAACATGGAGAGAAATGACTCCCCAGGTCACCTTCTGACCTCCACGTGTGTGCCTTGACATACATGCCCACCACACATACACATCACATACAACGATAATTTTATTTTATTAGGGGTGTATGGGGGGGCGGACAGAAGCCATGTGTGTGGAGGTTAGAGGCCGACTTTGTGGAGTGAATTCTCTTCTACCTTTATGTGGGTTTTGGACTTGAGCTCAATTCATCGGGCTTACCTGTGGCAGGCAATTTACCATTTGAGCTATCTCACCTGCCCTAAAATCCTTTTAAGTTTAAAACAAAACCCCTCAAGTCTAAAACCCACATGGTTTTCAGCTTTTGATTTTTTCCTTGGCAGGTACATAAAGGCTGCAAATGATTATTTGCTCACTCTCCTGGCACACTCCTGCTTCTAACCAAAAAGATAAAGAAGGCCTGTGCTGATCAGATGTGTCCCTGGTACCTGGGCTTGGGGTGGGCATCTTTCCCATACTCAAGCTCTGGGAGGCTGGCAATGAAGCCATGGGCACCAGGATTGAGTTCCTGGGCCTAAGGATGTACCTCAGTTGGTGACGTGCTCACCCAGCTTCCATGAAGCCTTGGGTTCAGTCAGTAGGAGCCCATGAACTGGGTGTGGTGACACATACCTAAAATCTTAGAACTTTGGAGGTGGAGACAGAAGACCAGAAGTTCAAGGTCATCCTTGGCTATATATAGCAAGTTTTGAGGCCAACTTGGACTACATGAGTGCTTGTCTCAAAAAAAAAAAAAAAAAGAAAGAAAGAAAAGAAAAACAACAAACAAACAGAACATCAGCTGACGGAGACTTACAACCAAAGATCATGCAGACCTCCTCAGAATTCTGCCTCTGGCTGCTGCTCCCAATCCTGAGGGCTAGGACATTACGTATAAGCTGGAAATCACTCGGGCTCACCTACAGATAGACTAGTTGAGGGGGCTCTTTGCTTCCATCTACACCCCAAGCCAACATGTGTCTGTGGCCGTGCTAGTGACTCAAGGCATTCCCGCTTCTCTGTTTAGACCTTTCCCCACCATTTCATGCCCATAGGTCTGCCTCTACAAAGTGGGGTTTGGGGTAATGGAAGTAGTTGTTAGCTTTGTTTGGTAGTGCTAGGGGTCGAATCTAGGCCCTCACACATGCTCAGCAAATATTCTACCTTGACCTACATCCCAGCCCTGAAGAACATTTGTTGCCAATCTGTCCCCCTTTCAGGCCACAAAACACTTTTTATTTTTCAAGACAGGGTTTCTCTGTGTAACAACCTTGGCTGGCCTTGAACTCACAGAGACCCACCTGCCTCTGCCTCTGGAGTGCTGGGATTAAAAGGCATATGCCACCACCACCCGGCCATGAAATACTTTGATATGTTGTATTTTGCAGGGTTGGAGAAAGGGCCCAGGAACCTTAACAGTACTCTACCATGAACCCCAGATCACCTTTCCAAAAAGCTCCAGGAACTTCGGTGTGTAATCCTAAAAGGCCTTCCCTCTGTTTATTCCTCTCAACAACACGGTTTGCTTATCTAAAGGTATGAGTATGGTCTTCAGACCCACCCCAGGAGAAGGGATTGCTTATCACCTCATTTTCCTCTCTGACTCAGTCAAATGTTTCCATGTAAGTGACCACCCAAGGGGAAGCAAGCTTGCAATCAACATATCTATCTTATCATGAGTTTAAACAAACAAAATAGGAGAAATAGTCAACTCTTACACCAGAGGTTGTCTCCAGCTTGGGAGGTGAAGGAAGGACAACCAGGAGATGTGAGTTAAGGTCTCAGGTAAATCAATTGTGGTGGCCTAGGTCCATAATCCCAGCAATAGGGATGCTGAAGCAGGGGCATTACAGTGAATTTGAGGCCAACCTGGCATGCAGATTAAGACTCTATCTCAACAAACAAATGATAACATATACCTATGGGTAGAGATGGGAAGGTTGGGGGTTCTAGGTCATTCTCAGCTACTTAGCAAGTTCAAGGCCAGCCAGGACTGAAACAAGACTCTCAAAACAGATTAAGATCTAGAGACTTGCTCTAGGGCATGGAATTTGGTGGATACGTATTAGAAAACTGCTCATGTTGGTTGGTAAAGACCATCTCCTGTCCCCAAGTAGGTTCTTGCTCTACCCTTGGAGGACCAAGGATGGAGTGGGCAGAGCAGCATGGGGCATAAAAAAAGATGTAATTTATGAGTAATGGGATACAACCACTTTAAAGAAATCAGCACATCAATTTAAATAAGGCAGGCTTGAAGTCTTGGTGGCAGCTAGATACTCAAGCCAACAGGGTTGAGAAGCAAGAACAGTCCCTTGCAGTCTCTCTGTCCATGGGTCAGCCAAGTGTGCAGCAGGTGTCTGGAGGCAGTGGGTGTCCAGATCTGTCTGGAGGCTGGAAACTACTTCAGGAATCAATTCCCATTTGCAGCCCAAGCGTGGAGACTTGGAGGATGAGATGGAAAGGAGTCTCCTCTGCCTCCAGTCTGGGTGGAGTCCTGGCGACCAGCTTGAGGGAAGTCCAGCTCTGGGCAAAGGCCTCAGATGTGGGAGAGGTTGGTCTCCAGTGGGGGGGGTCCATCACACCTGGGTCTTGAGTGCATTCGTGTCTTTATCTTCCTTTGAGCTCTCCAGTCTGTTGAGTTCTCCAGTGTCCTGTGAGCTAAACGTAGCTTCAGATATGCTGCTCACATAGCCCAGGCTCAGCTAGCAGCACGAGGCAGGGCTAGAGACAACTTCCTCAGGGGAAATGTTGGCTCATGAGTTAGCATAAAGGACATAAGAAGGACGACACTGATGGTATTGGAAGTAAGTAGATTGGCAAAGATATTGAAAACAAGTCTCCACATTAAAAACAAAAGAGAGTTCCAGGACAGCCAAGGCTACTGAATGAAAAAAATAAAAAGGAAAGGAAAGGCCATGACTGCCCCTAGGTATGGTAGAGGAGAAAGTTTATTATGGATATGTGGGACAGCATAGTCAGAGGCAGGGACATCTGGGAGAAACCAGAGTGGACATAACCAGCCTGAGCTGGGCCGTGTGAGAAGGGGGAGAAGGTAGAAGGGAAAGGGGGGACCAGGTGCAGCAGCCAGGAGGCCAAAGGTCCAAAACAGGGGGAGGTCACCAAAATGTCTGGATTATATAGGGAAGAGCCTCTGGGGGAAGGGCAGCCCAGCCCCTGGGCTGGAGAGATCAGGGTAGAGGACAAGATATGCCAGCCATATCCTGTAACAGGTAGGGACTGAGGGATGGTGGGAGAACCTGGTGGCCAGGTCCGATGTGATAAGTTAAATAGGCACCTCAGCCATTTTCCCTAATTTGAGACTTAAAACTACATAGTGAAACCCTGTGTGGGGTTGGGGGGTGGGGGTGTGCTTAATTTTTTTGTGGAGGGGAGCATATGTTAGGTGTGCCGGTGGCCCACACATGGAGGTTAGAGGTCAGAAGTCAAGTGTTTCCTTCTACCATGTGGATCCCAGAGATTGAACTTAGGTTTTCTGGCTTGGCGACAAGTACCTTTACCCACTGAGTCGTCTCTCTGACCCTTCATGCTGTCTTGACAGGAAATCCCAAAGTAAGCGTCATAAGATGGACTTAGGGATTTGGCCTCAGCTATCTCCCCTGAGGCAGAGGTGACAGGAGGTGAGCACCTGGAAAGGACGGGCCACCGTCCCACCGGCGCTCTGCAGTGCAGAAACCGTGAGATGCCGCCTCGTTTGGTACTTCCTCCTCTTGCTTCCTGGGCTGCCGGAGCCCTCTTCAGAGCGTCTCTGCTTCCGCCTTCATCTTCAAGTGTTTGCCTAGCGCACTCTCAGAGTTGATGGTCTTACGGAAAGGCTTTGTGATCCACTTTGAGTTGATTTCTTCCACAGAGTGAGAGGCGGGGACCTGATTCGGGTTTCCCTTCGCATCTTCTGTAAAATGCCAGTGAGCGAAAAGGCCAGCAGGCACAATGGCTAGCGCCTTGGTTAAGATTTCTCCTAGATAAGCATCCCCGACACTTGATCAGCATTTGCTAAGCAAGGGGTCAGATGGGTTAGTGTAACTAGGGCAGTTTATCTTCACCTTCTAATTGGCATTTCTGATCTCTGCCCATCCACCACTGCCAGAGACACTCCCAACCCTCCACCCATCCCAAGGCCCCTCTCTAATGCAGGAAGGGTGTTTCTTAGGTGGAGTCTCTCAGATGTGGGGCGCTATGAAACTGCTCCCCCCAAATTCTTCCTCCATCCCCCATGTAGATGCAAACTGACTAGTCCAGGAGAGAAGATGGGCCTGATGCTTAAGGCCTGAGGCAGACAAGCAAGACAAAGAAATTCCTGCAGGCTGTTAACACAGGGGAAGTGCAGAGAAAGGGCTAGACTGACTTATCAAGGTGGGCTTTCTGGAGGAGGCAGAGGAGGAAAAGCATAGTTAGGCGCCGGACAGAGAAGGGCCTCATAGGGAGTTGTTTCAGTATTACATAGCCCAGGAGAGTTGGGAGCTTGTGGGAACTGAG